AAAAATGACAGCAACTTGTCTGTTCCCCTTCCCCCAATTCCCCAGCACTGTTCCCATCCCCCCAATTCCCCAATAAAAAAATAAATAAATAAATGATGGGAGGGACGAAGAGGGTAAATGTAACCAAAAATATGATGACCGAAGGAGCCTAGGCTTCGGATGGAGAGCACACAATAGAGCATACAGATGTCTTGTTATAAAGTTGGACACCTGAAATTTATATAATGTTATTAACCAATGTTACCCCAATAAATTTAATAATAAATAGAGGAAAAAAATGAAACTGGTACAGGGGGCTGAAGGTGAGTCAGGGAAGGCTTTAACTAGGTGACATTTTAACAGGCTTAAAGGAGTGCGAAGAGAGCCCTACAGATAACTAGGAAGTAGCAAGTGCAAAGGCCCTGGGGCTTGAGTTTGAAGGAGTATAAATAGTCCTGTGTGGCTAAAACAGAGTGAGTAATGGGACATGAGGCCAAAGAGGAAATGGGACACCAGATCTTATCAGACCTTGAGGGCCATTGTAAAGACTTTGGCTTTTACTCTGAGTGAAATTGAAAATCTTCAGAGGGTTTTGAACTGAGAGATGACATGACTGGGCTTCTCATTTGAAAAGAATCACTCTACTTGCTATTGAGAATAGATGATATTTGGGGCAAGACTGGAAATTGGAGAGTCTGGTTAGGAGGCCATTGCAATAATTCAAGCAAGAGAAAATTGTGTCTTGGTAGTGATAGGGGTGGTGAGAGGTGTTCTAATTCTCTATATTTTAAGGTAGCACCAAAAGGATTTCCTAACAGATTGATGTGGGATGTGATGAAGAATGTAGTTACCATTAACTGAAATGGCAAAGATTGAGGGTAGAGCAGCTTGAGAAGTGGCTAGGGCAGAGTTGATTAAAATTATAAGGGGGCCGGCCGAGTGGCTCAGTTGGTTAAGAGCTCGCTCAAGAGTTTGAGCTCTGAGCAACAGCGGTTCGATGCCAGCCCGAGCTGAGCAGCCGCTAAGCTACCAATAGGTAGCAGGATGGCTCAGCTAAAAAAAAAAAAAAAAAATTATAAGGATTTTATTTGCGCAAGGCCCAAAAATCATATACCTGTCTACTCATATGATATATTGTGATGCTTTTGTTTGGCTTTGGGAATTTCATATTTTATTCATTGTTTTAATTAAATGCCTAGTGGCAATTGGTTGAAACACTAGATGTCTTTCCATATGTCAATTGTGGTTTTATTTCCTTTTCGTTCTTCAGTCAAACGGCCTGAAACATTTCTGTGTTGCATCTCTGCAGCTGTCCTTTGTCCCATCCTAGTGACCATCAGCCCGGTTCTGCAGTTTGGCTTGTCTGACATTTTTATTTGGTCTCTTGCACCAGTTGTTTATTTAGAGTAGGTACAAGTCCTCATGAGATGTGGCATTTTACAACAGCAGTTGAATAGTTTGAACATTCTAAAGCAGAAAGATTACAAAAATGTAACAGAAATAATGTGAAACTTGGGGAAAATGGAGTGGAAAACATGAATAGTTTAATTGCACCCGTTTGAGTGAGAGGAAACTTTTGTTGTAGATAAAGCCTATTTTATGGTGTTAGGAGCTGGCCAACTGAATTCTGTTGGTTTGCACTGCTTCTGCTTTTTATCCTGATGGCATCTTTGGTTTTATCAAGGAGTTGGATTTCCTCCTTATTTCTAAAGAGAAATGTTTACCTCTTTCAAAAAAGAAAAGAAAAAAAACCACCCAGAACTTGGGTTTTGACATCTTAGGCGACATACTTCAGGTTAGTCAGGCAATACCTGGGCCCCTTTACTTGTAGTTCCATATTTCACAGACAATAGACAAAGCTCTTACTGTGAGAAATGCCCAATTTAGTAATATCTATTCTATTCTAAGTAGAATCATTAATATTTAAAGCTAGAAGGATTACAGAGAGCATCTAATCTTACCTCATTTTAGAGGTGAGGAAATTGGGACATCAAAAATTCAGTGACTTACTTTAAAATCACTAGAACATTCATTGTTTTCATGATTAGCTATATTTTTCCTTTCCTTTCAAAAATGTATGGAGAGATAATTCACATACCATAAAATTCACCTGTTTAAAGTGAACAATTTAGAAGTTTTTAATATATTCACAAAGTGATACAACCATCACTACTATCTAATTCCATATCATTTTTGTCACCCCCAAAAGAAACCCTGTCCCCCCCATTAGCAGTCACTCCCCATAATCCCTCTCTCCAGCCCCTGTCAACCACTGATCTACTTTTTGCCTCTATGAATTTGCCTATTCAGAATAGTTCATTTAAATAGAATCATACAATATGTGGCCTTTAATGTCTGGCTTCCTTCACTTAGCATAAAGTTTTCAGGATTCATCATGTTGTAGCATGTGTCAGCACTTCATTCCTTTTTATGGCCAAATAATATTCCATTCTCTAGATTTTTCATGTTTTATCCATGCATCAGTTAATGGACATTTGGGTTTTTTCTACTTTTTCCACTTTGGGGAAATATGGCTTGATTAGCTATATATATATATTTTTTTTTGAAGGAAGCTTGCCTGTGATAAAGTTAACTTACTTTTTTTTTAAAGATTTTTTTTTTAATTGGGAAATTGGGGGGATGGGAACAGAGCTGGGGAATTGGGGGAAGGGGAACAGACAAGTTGCTGTCGGTTTGTTCTTCAGTCTAGTTGTGGAGGACGTTGCTTCACTGGCCCAAGTTGGCACCATCATTGCGCTCTTCCCAGGTGAGGCAGATCAGTC